TAAGAGGATTAGAACCAATCTCTTACAGGTACTCAGGGAAAAAGGCTTTTATGGGTATGTGTGTATGTGTGTTTAACCAGGGAGGTGGGAGAGAGTGCATATGAGTGGGAAATGTGAATGTGAGGGAAAAGGCAGAGAGGAAATTGGGAAGGAAGAGGTACTCAAGGAGGGAAAGCAACAGCAGAAAGGGCAGTGAGTGCATGGATATTTGGAAAAATAGACTGAAAGTTTATTTCCTAACCCAGTAGAATTTGAATGCCTCCATTTATGAATCAGTTGGGTTAGGACTGACCCTAGGGACAAAAACAAGTATATTTGTGCTGCTCATTTATTGAGTACTTTTGCATAGCAGTGACTGGGAATGGAATTGGGTTTATCTGCCACAAGGAAACTTGTGGGTAAGACAGCCAACAAACACTAAATGAAACTTTCTCTTTAGGTATGTGAGCGAATCCCAACTATAAGCACCCAGCTCAAAATCCTGTCCACAGTGAAGGCTACCATGCTGGGCAGGACCAACATCAGCGATGAGGAATCTGAGCAGGTATGTGCTATTGCTCTGGGTTTGCTGCCTCTAGCTTCTATGCTGTTTAATTTTAATTTTAGGACAAATTTACCTCTGAATTAAGAATGCAGTTATTACCTTTCTGTTGGGCCCAGCTCTGAGCCACATTCTGCATTTTCTTATGGTAGAGAACATGTCTTGGTTGCATTGTGTACAGAGGACCCATCATTTCTTTTAAAAGTTAAAATGAGAGGCATACTCTCTCCATTAGGGAATTCACAAATAATTTGGGAGACTAGCTGCTTCTGACTTCTACAGAGGCTAGGGGTAATACTGAGGGACAAGGACACTCTTCTGCTGCCACCACTGCTACTTACGCTATCATTATTTTAATCCAATAGCTCTCATCTCTCAACCATGGGAGCTTTATCGACATCTCTAACTGCCAGATATTGCAAGTGGAGTTTGGTACTGGGTTTCTTTCCTTAGTGGGATGCCTAAAGATAGATGGGAAAGGAAGGGTAAGACTGTGATTCATGCTAAAGCATATTAAGTTAATTTATATAAAAAAGTTGCATGTTGAGTCTATGTGTGTCCCATTAAATGAAAAAAGGTAGAAACAGTGTGGTAGAGTGGAACCACAGGATACAAGTGACTCTGTTGTGAGTTTGGCTAGCAAGGCTCCAAGCCTTTCTGAGCCTAAGAGCCTTCATAACAAGAAGGAATTTAGACAATAGGTACTTTCTCAGAACCCTCTGAATTTTATGTCCAAGTTTCACTCATGTAACATATTTTTCTGGTGAAACCCTACATCCTTTACTGAATCCTCAAAAGACTTACAGATAGTTAGAATTACTGCCCTAGAGTCATTGAATTGTCTGGCTGTGAGTATACTTCTAGCTAGATCTCTGTCCTCTATGTGTTTAGAAAATTAAAGTACGTATACTTGTAGTTGGTTGTGTGGTTTTATTATTTTTATTCATTGTTTACTAAATGCCTCCTGGCCTAAATAATGGAGAGCAGTAAACAAAAATAACAAAAGTTTCTGCTGCATGGAACTTAAAATTTAGTACAGATAACCCCCCCCCAAACAAATGCCAACAAATAAAACAAAACCCATCCCCCAAACGATGTGGGTAGAATATATAGCATACCAATTAGTGATGATGGATTTTATGAAGAAAAATAGTAACTTTAAGTGAAGAATGATAGAAGTGGTGTATGATTTAACATAAACAAAAAGGAATGGTTCCCCTAATGTAACTGCTTAGCAAAGATCTGAAGGGAGAGCCCTGGGTTACTTGGAAGTAAAGCAGGTAGAGGAAATAGCAGAGTCCTGAAACCTATAAACTAAGAGCAAGTACATGTTGACATCCACACAAGGACACAGTGCACAGATGGCAGTATGTTTTTATACAGTTAAACTTAAACAACTAGTGATGCAAGCAAGTGTTGGATGCCAGCGCAGGTGGGGTTAACTGGAGCCCACACCAGGCTTCATAGTTTCTTGAAGGCAGCATTGCATGAGGGACTGTAGTAAAAAGACTTTTATTACAGGCCACAGAGATGCTGGTCCATAATGCCCAGAACCTCATGCAGTCTGTGAAGGAGACTGTGCGAGAAGCAGAAGCGGCTTCAATCAAAATTCGAACAGATGCTGGATTTACTCTGCGCTGGGTCCGAAAGACTCCCTGGTACCAGTAGGCACCTACATACCCTGGCTGGGACATAAGCCTCTGCCAGAGAAGTGAATGATGAGTTCCAGAAGCCATTCAGAGTTGCCAGGAGTAGAAATCAGTTCCTGGTCTCACACCAGAAAGGAATGGGGGCTTCTTCACACAGAAAACATTTACACCTTGTCACGGACATTTTGAAATGTGTCTCTGTATAAACCCTGTACACTCAGTTACTCCTGTGCACAGTCACCCAGTAAGTGGACTGGGTTGCTAGCCCATGGATTTTACAGAAGCTCAGAATAAGAGTGAACACTAGCTGGAAGCCCTGTTCTGCCCAAGGAACATTTACCTTTGTTTACTGTTCAAAACTCCCTTTTCCCTGTTTAGGCCCCCAAGACCTAGAGCTGAGGCCAGTCAGTTAGTAATGTGCTTCCAGAGTTATTCTGGGTTTTCCATATTGCTGCTGACCCTGCCTATCTTCCCTGGGCATGCATCATTGGGGGATGTCTCTGGGGAATGTCAGCTTGTGTGGCCTGGATTCACTTCCTGTTTTTCCTCCATGTAACAGTTCCTCACAATGTAAAAGCAACTTACATTGTTGGGAGGAAGTCACTATTCTGTCTTTACCATGCCCCTGAGTAATATCTGTGCTAGGGAAACTTCCTGCCTAACCTCCTGCCTTGCTTTGGTTGCCAAGGTAACTATCCAGCAAACACACTGGTGCTCTCTGCCACTACAGGGGCAGAGTAGCTGGTGTGTGATCCTGCCTGACCTCCCAGTGGGGCCATTCCCAGGTTTCTATGCTTTGTCACTGCCAGTAGAGGTCTGTGCTAAGGCCTTAGCATTCACTCTTAACCCCCCTCCCCCATTTTTCAGCTGAAATGCTACATTTATTTTTAACTAAATCATCTAGGCTTTGGCAGTCTTCTATATGCTTCTTAAACAAGACTTTAAAGATACAAAGGTATGTGTTTGTAATACCCCCAGTTCCCACTTTTTTAAAAATTTTGAGACTAGGTCTCTTTATGCTGTCTTGAACTTATGGGTTTAAGCAATTTGCCTGTGTCAGACTATTAGCACCTACCAACCACTCTTGGCTTCCTTGTAAATTTGGAAGGTCCATTCAAAATTAAGTACTAAACCTTAGGGTTTGCTCCTGAAGAAACTTGAATGGAAAGGCAGTCCTGTCCTAGATATACTTCTGTTCTTCCCATACCTAGTGCATTCAATAACAACCCTGAATGTGTAAACCTTAAGTTGATCCTGTATACTCAGGCTTCTTCTCTTTTCTTTCAGCTGATTATTTTCAAAGCTCTCAGCATATCTGTATAGTTGCTTACTTGATATAAATGCATATCAATGCCTTTAAAGTATGACTCTATGCCAAAGATCACCTTTTGTTTTAAAGATGACTTAGAAGAACTAAAGAAAATCATGTTTGCTCTCCAAGTTCTTCCAGTTCTGGAGACATTTACATGTCCTCCAGATGTGCTTTTCTTGAGTGTCAGTGCTTACAGTACAAGGAAGCAAAAGGAAACCTGTCCCTGAATGAGTAAGAGATGCCACCCCCTTCAAAAAAAAAAAGAAAAAATCCAAAAACAAACAAAAAACCCCCAAAATCCTACATTTATAAGGTAGGATTTATTATATACAAATATTTTCTGCCTCTTCTTTTTTGTTCTGTTTAAAACAATAAAATACATTTATATGGATAATGCTCTGAATGATGGACATGCTATTTTACTAACAACTTTAGGTCAGACTCTTATTTTTTTCAAGAATAGCCAATGAAACGAATCCTCAAGGTCTGGATTAAAAAAAAAAAAAAAACCAACAACTAAAGATTTTACCGACTTCATAAAGGAATGGAAATAGTGTATTTACATAGGAGGGTCTATGTGATAAAAGATCTTGGCAACTATACATTAAAAGGAGCAGAAATCACAAGTTACCAGTGGGCAAAGCAGCCAAAGTGGGTCACCCTGATTGAAGTAACTTTCATTTTAGAAGAATTTAGCTATTACTGGAGACCACAACTGTCCCTTAAAAAAACACTTAACTTGTGAAATGGGAGGGGCACTTTTGTGTGTTCCAAACTCCAGTATAGAACAGTGTTGTCCATATCCACTAGGGCTTGAGTTAAAAGTAGCTTTGGATATATACTCATCTTCCTGATCAAAGAATCACTGACTAAAATAAAAAGCATTGTTGTCTAATCTTCTAGAACTGGGGGAGGGGTGGGGGAAAGTTTAAACAATATTGCAGGATGAAATTTACCATTGCATTGACAGAAAAGTTTCTAATGGGAGAAGTGGATTGTAGTCCATGTCTAAGGCTACAGAATTAACTTAGCTGACACTGTAGTTTTTTTTTTTTTTTTCCTGACTGGTTGTTTCTAAGGACAACAAAAATTTCCAGGCTTCTGCAGCACCACTTAAGGAATGAACCCACCATCTGAATTCCCTGTGTGGGTGAGTGGGGGGCTACACCATGCAGAAAATAAGCATCTGTTTTATTTGTTTTTAGATTATGATTCCTTAAGAACAAAAAAAGGGGGAATATGGTGGATTTAGCAGAATTCCGTGTCTAAGAATCTTGGATCTATATGGGAAATAACGTGTGACTAGAAAGGGAATACTTTAAAAAGATGAATGGCTGGCTGTGAATATGCTCTGCTTAGGAAATGGCCTCTTGAATGTTCTTCAAGCAGCTGTACCACTTGTGATACAGAAGAAACTGATCTGATGCAGCCGGCTCTAACATAGCCTGGATATGAGAATGTCCCATCAACAATCAAACTTAAAAAAAAAAAAATTCAGTTTGTTGCTTTCACATTTTTATTGACATTATAGCCAGAGCCAGGGAAAGGACTTACTGGGCTCTATCAAATTAATAAATACAACGATTTAACTGTAAAGGAACATGGCCTGCTTGGCTGTTTTAGCAGAAATTATTAGAGACGAGGGACTCTTGGTATATGTCCCACTTTGATAGACAAGACTGCACAGGAGGAATGTTGGACAGTCTATGATTGTTTTTGAGGTAAAGACAGGATATTAAAACCAGAGCTAGATAGCCAAAGGGAATAAATACTTTGTATTTCAACTTAAAGCTGCCAATCTAACATTGATCACTCAAATTTCTATTTGAAGCTGCAAAACCTAGCCTTTCTAATTAGATGACATTAATAGTAACAATGCTACTCCATCATCAACACTCCAGCAAGGAGTGAGCATGTATCATAAATAGCATGGTAAAGGAGAGGTGAAAGAAAATAATAGGCCACGGTACAAGAGAACTAATCGTCTAAAGAAAAGCAAGGGGATATAGGAAGTGCAAGCACTTACATCTTTGAGTCTTCCTCCATTTTCTTTATGTTTAATGAGGCAAGATCACCACATAAGGATCTCCAAGCAATTGATGCAGGATGGAATGAATCAGACTGACTTTCTAAGTGTAATGATTGATATAAAACATTACTGAGGATATTGTTTGTCCTTCAGTATAATGCTCTTTGTGTGCACAGTAAAGCTAGACACTTGAGTGCTTCAGTCACATTTTAACGAGGTGGGGAGTTTTGGGAAGGTGCCTATCACAATGGTGTTGGGATATATCTAAGGTGAAATAGGAGCTCCTCCAAATACAGGCATACAGGTAAATCCAACCATCTAAGCCCCAAAAGATAAAAGATTGAAAAGAGAAAAATAACAGTAGTGAAGCAGGTATGTTTTCCTCCTTTTGCTAAACTAGGGCATGAGACTTTCAGGCTAACTAAGGCTAGAGTTTAATTTGTTTAAAAGCACAAACACTTGTGCCTGCATTAACTTCCTAAAGGCAGAAGTAGTGTTCCCTTTTGTTAGCTTAATAAAGTATTTGCCCTTTGATGCAAATAACTTTGTGCTGTCTAGCAGCTGGACTGATGATGACTGATGGTGTATCTACTGCAGCGAAGTCCTTGTAAATCAAAATCTGAGCTTTACATAAAAATCTCATTCATAAAAAAATATAATACCAAGTACAGTGAGAATGGAGCATGGAGCAGCAGTGCTCCCTGCCAGGGCCATGTGGAGGTGGCTTTTGCTACAGTGCTTGCTTAATGGCACAAGTGAAAAGCTGAATAAGGCAAACACTTGAAGAGGCAGTTTTCTGTAAACTTCTTGGGGTGGGGGAATCTCCTCTTGTGGGACAGACACTGATTTGAGATGGCTAACATCAGAAGGTGTGACACTTGGATACACTTGACACATCATGGCTGAGACAGTTTCTGCTGGTGGAGGAGACCAGTTCACTGGCTTTAGGAGAGGCTACCACTGTAGCCTTCTGCCTTTACTATTACAGTGTGCAGCATTCAGCTGGTAGCCCCTTTGGAAGAAATCATCTAAATCTTTTCCTAAGTGAAAAGATACAAAATAAGCTAAGTCTTTAGAAAACTTTCCTTAGCTTAAAGCTCCTTAAGAACCCTATATTGATACTAAGCAACTTTGTTAGCATTGTAGCTTGACACAAATGCTTTATATGTATTCCCACTACTTGGTACCTAATAGTAATAAATTGTAATACACTTGAAACATCTTAAGGAATTTTGGTCTCCTCTCATGTTCTCACTTGAAACTTCCCAGCTTTTGTGACATACTTGACTCCTTTAAATGGCTTATACTTCTCCCCATACATGTCCAAGCGGTTCACTTTTAAGCCTGTGTCAAAAAGAATGAAACAAATAATTACCAATAATAATGCAAAATTTCTTTAGCAATGAACACTATATCCTAGATGTGACACTGTACGGTGCCCCAATCATTGTTGTGGAAACAATGTTCTTTTTCTATCACCCATGCATTATACTTTGGGGAGTCTAGCTGATGCCTCTGCGGCCAAAACAATACTTCTGTGAGCAGAAATGACTGCTTTTCTGGTGCTTAAGTAAAGGTGAGATGGGGCACTTGTGATGGAAGAATATAAAATGAGCTGTTCTCCCAGCGCCACATTAGGCAAACTAGAGCACATGCTCTTTCTAGGGTGGAACTGTAAGAGCTCTCCCAATTCCTAATGCTAAATGCCCACAGACACGCAGCAAACCTAGCTTTACCTGAAATAGCAAGCTGCTGGATCTTGAACTGTATGTTGAGGCTTGGATTTTCTTCTGGCTTGGGTGCTCCTGACTGTAAATTTACCAGACCTTTAAGACTTGGGAGCTTTTGTGGAGTAATTTTCCCCACATCCCATGCTAGTACCTTAAAAAGACAAGGGAAAAAAAAAAATTCTAAACCATGTGTTAAAGACATGCTCAGAGGTTAATAAACTCTATAAGCTTCTACACAAAATGAAGCAGTGTCATGGAAAACAGAAGAAGCCTGGAATAGACAACTGATTTATATTACTATCATTAAACTTTCAGCTACAGATCCTTTGTTCCAGCAAAATCACCTGTGTGGAAACTGAGTAATACATGAAAGTCTGGCTGCAGTTGGAGTGGAAGACAAGGGTGTGGAATTCTCCTGCTTAGACTCACATGGTCTCTGGAATTTTTTAGATGTACAAGTTCTATATTATATGTACACATGTAGACACATGTGTGGGGTTGTACATGTGAATACAGAGCCTTTGGAGGTCAGAGAGGGTATTGGATCCCCTGGAGCTGAGGTTACAGGCAGTTGTGTGCCTCCAATATGGTTGTTGGGAATCATACTTGAGTGTTCACAGCCACTGAGCCATCTCTCCAGCCCCAAGGTTAGAAGATCTTTTAATGCTCTATGTGTGGTGATTCATACCTTTAATTTCAAAACTCAGGAGGCAGAGGCAGGCGCAGCTCTGTGAGTTCCAGGCCAGCCTAGTCTACATATCAAATTCACACCCAGGACCATAGTAAGAGACCCTGTCTCAAAAAAACAAGACAAAACAAAAACAAAAAACCAACTACCCCCAAAATGCTCTATGAAGTTAGTCAAAATTATACCTTTTCAGCTAGGTGTGGAGGTGACACAGAGGGTTCTGAGTTCCAAGTCAGCCAGCCTTGGCTACATAGTAAGACCCCCACCTCAAACAAAACATACCTCATTAATCAAGCACTCAATTATTCTGTGGAAAACTTACCACATTTCCTACCTAAGGAAACAAAGCAGCTGAGAGAAATTCATTTTTTATTGTCCCTGAAAACCTTTACCTAGAGGCATGTGTAAGCAATGCCCCAGCCACAAAAGAGATCATACAACACTTGCTCATTCTTCACTGTTGAAGTGGCTGTACCTTGGTTACTGGATCAAATGTATAGCTGCCTTGTGTTGGTGTCAGATTCATATTCAGCACAACTTTTGGCATGTGAACAGTCACTGTGATTCCTTCAATAGTTTTTCCCATATTCTGTTTTGGTCCAATTGTTATATCAAATCTGCCACAAGAGCTGTTTTCCTTAAAGCTGATACTGTGTTTCACATATACTGGTATTGCCACAAGACTACAAAAAGACACAGAGAGAAAGATACAAAAGTGTGAATGTATACAATGAAAGGTACTGGACAAATCCAGATGTAGTATGTGCTCCATGTTGTCTGTAACTGTGTCACAGGGCCATATATCCTTGTAGGACCAGCCTCTGTCTTGGGGTTGTTGAGGACAGCATGGTGGTTTGTACTAGTGTGGCTGTCTTGTCAGTTCAGAGAACATAGTAGGATTAAGACATTAAGTTCATGGTTTGCATATTTCAAAGGCTTGCTTTTAGTTACAGATTTTAACCTACTCTTCCTTACTACTCTACTTTCAAGTTTTTAGGTACATATCACCAGTTCTCACTAGGTTTCCAGGTGAGCCATGGCTTAGTAAGCCATGATGAATTCAAGAAATAACTGTAAAAAATGAAACAAGAACAGGGGAGTTCTATTCAAATCGTTTGTCTGTGATGGCAAATTCTGGCTGATGCATCAATTTACTTCTGTGAGCTGACACGGTATGATATGAGTCGGAAATTCCCATCTGGAGGAATAAATGACAAAACTCTTTCTGATTCCCAACGTTTGAATCGGATGCACGGGTGGAAGCTGACATCATCTAGAAGCCGTGGGTTCTGTCAGGAAAAGAAAAAGCCATATGCACAGTGTAAAGCAGTGTGACAACAGTATTTACATATTATGATAAATCAATATGCTCCCTTAGTCATAAAAGCATTGTAAACATTTATTATGAACACATCAAAATAACGTTATAGTTTCATAAACTTTTAAAGTTTGCAAACATTTTATATATATTACTTTACTTAAGTTTATAAACTGTGGGGAGAAAAAAGAAGGTAGCATTGTCTACATTCCACAGGTGAAAACTGAGGTTGAAGAAAGTCAAGAGAAACTGGTAACAGAGACAGAACCAGAACACATTTCTCCTAGCTGTTTTTAGCGGTGTGTCAGGCTGAATCTAAATGATGCAAAGTATCTGTCTCTTTACACAAGTAGAGCAAATGTCTAGTAAAAAAGACAGTGGAGATACAAAAGCTAGACATCAACTTCTGAGCCACTTCTAGCATACTCTAAGTAAAGACCTCCCTTCTACTTTACAATAAAGGCCATGTTCAATGTGTCAGCTCTTGCCTGGAAAGCTGTGCTAGGAATATTTCTGAGATAGCCCTTTGTAACCTAATATACAAACTCCAGCGCTGGGGAGATGGCTTAATATGTAGAGGTGCTTGTAGTGGGATATTCACTTTGTCTCCTTCTGTGGCATTGACCACGCCCATTGGGGGTGGAGCCAGGGGTGGGAGTGACCTGTGGAAGGTGGTCTGAGGAGGAGCTGGGAACTGCTCTCTTGCTGGTGTGTTGTGGAGAGGAGAGTATCCGGTGGAACTTGCTGGTGTTCATCTGTCTAGGTTGTAAGTTATTTCTATTCGGCCTATTTGTTTATCCTGATCCTTATTTAACCGCAATAGGTGCTTGCTGCCAAGCTTGAGGACCCAAGTTTGCTCCCTAGGATCCACATGGTGGAAGGAGAGAATTCCTGGAAGTTGTCCTCTGATCTCCACATGTGTGCCCTAGTAAATACAAACCAACTCAAACACATACAAATATAAAATAAATAAAATTTCAGATACAATCTTATCTCAGTATAATTATCACATCATTAATCACTTCAAGTTTATTGGGCATGGAAGGGACAGTAGAGCAGATCAAAACTTACCATGAAAGAGAGAGAGAGATCAGGCATACCAGAGAGCTTAATGCAAGCATCGATGACCCCCTGAATTTCTGCAAATACTGTAGATCCTAGAGAAAGAAATAAAAAGCTGATGATCTTAATGGAATCTGGGTCTTCTCTAGAGCTCTCACTGTACCTGGAGTAATGGAAACACATTCTGGGTGTCAGAATTACAAAGCTTTCTACAGGTTAGTAGATGGAGTATCTATTACACTAGTTTCAACAGCATTTCTCACTGGCTACATCTAACTGGCTAGAGTATAATTCTATGGAAGATCAAATCTTTAGAGGGTCAATCTTGTAAGATTATTTAAACAGAAGTTTAGAATATTTTAACAATTTGAAAACAAAGCAGGTTTCTCATGAAATGGACAAAGCTATAGGCTACCTTTTAAGGAGCAGGAGTCATGATTTATTATTCTGAATGCCTGAAGCCTGAAAGATGACAAGGTAATAGCTGTTATCTGTTATTCACAGCAAGTCAGTTATCACCAAATATCAACTAGTGTTGTGTTTAATATGTTATGTAGTCCTCTGAGTCTCTGTTGCTTTATGTATAAACACGAGGCCAGGATGAGATGTTTGTGATTCTAGTATTTACCACCAACGTCTTCTCTGTTAAAAACAACCAGAAGCCTTTAGCTAAAGCATTGTACACATAGCAGGTAAGCAGCATGGTTACCACAGTTATATAATCTCTCAAATGAGTAAGTTGCAAGAAGGACTTACAAACACCTTGCACTATCTCAATCAGTGGTTTGATAATTACATGTAACCTTTGGGCAGAATAAAAAGATTTATAAATCATTAGAAAAATGAATGATTTTCTGCTGAAAAACACCATGCCAAGGGATTTCAGTTTTCAATTCAACTTTTGTCAACTAAATTATTTATTTTCCCAGAGGACCACATGCATAACATTACCTGATTTATCTATAATTGCATCTATTTCTTCAACTACATCAAAATAGGCCTCATTGTTCGTGTACTTGACTCCTGCTCGACGCCATGGGATGTTGGATAGCTGCCCAGTGGGGAGTGTGTCCCCAACATTACTACTGCCTAGAAATTAGAAAAGAAAGCAAAATTGATGTGTGTAATGCTTATCAGAAAACCTATTATAAAAGAAAAAAGGATGCTTTAGCTTCTGTTTTACATTTGGAATTTCCTTCGTTGCAGTTGAGGATGGGCTCTAGAACTGGTGGAGACATATTCCATGCAAGTGGACAGAGATAGACCATGTGCTCCTCTGCCTACCTGTTAGACCAAGATAAATGCATTCACTTATCTTTTGCTTCCCCTGTGTTAGCAGTAACCTAAACTAACTCCACTGGCTCAACAATGGAATCTTATCCTGCTGCCAGCAATGAAAAAGAGGCCTGGCTGCTGAACAACCTAGTGGGAAGAAGTCTCCACTGAAAATACACAGTCCAAACCTGGTTCTTTGGTATTCAGAGGGATTCTACATGAGATGCTGCCAAGTTGGTCTCTATGGAGTAACTAGATGAAGAACAAATTTTTGCTTATTCCCATTTCAACATCAGCATACCACTGAGAATGTAGATCTATAGTGTAGCATTTGCCTAGCAGGCACATGGCTCTACACTCAATACCTGGTGTAGCAAAACAAAAACAAAAGCCCCAACACCTTTCTTATAATCCTAGGTGCTAGGATTACAGGCCTAACATCTTGCTGAAATGTGACTGATGGTCTTATCTGGCTAGCTTCCTGGAAAACTGCGTATGTATGGTTATCCAAACAGAAACCTTTCCACTATGACTTACCAAACATTTTGGTTAGTTTACATTTTAATTCAAAAGTAACAGCAATAAAAAGTAGTAAGTTTATAAAACGTTAAAAAAAGGCGTTTTCTACTAACATCAACAACCATTAACATTTAAATATTTCCCCCATTTTTTTTATATTTTGTTTATTCTTTTTTTTTAATAACCTCAGCACTTGAGAGGTAGAGGTAGGAGGATGGCAACAAGTCTGAGGCCAACCTGGTCTACATAGTGAATTCTGGGCCAGTCAGAACTACACAGCAAGACCCTGTCTTGATAAAACAGGCTCAAGACAGGCAGCACATCCCACCCTATAATCCACTTAGGAAGCTAAGGCAGGAAGATTGCTAGTGAAAAACCAGTCTGAGCTACAGAGTAGGAACCTGTCTCCAAGAACAAAAACCAAACCAAAACACACACAAAACCACACCAAACTTAATCAAACATAAAACATGGTTTCAGAGCTGGTTCAGAGCTGGAGACATAACAGGCAGCATGCTTGCCTAGTATGCATAAAGCCCTGGGACTGAATGATGGAACACAAGTTTTAACCTCAGCAGTTGTGAGATAGTGGAGGCAGGAGAATTAGAAGTTCAGAGCCATATTTGGTTATACATCAATACATAATGTTCAAATCTAGATTAATTTTTTAAGACAAGGAATGTATGTAGCCCAGAATGACTGAGAACCAGGGATCCTCCCACACCACCCTCCTAGGTGCTAGGATTACAGGCATATGTCACTAAGGATAGCTAAGAAGGCTAACACTCATTTTATAGTCTATTTATAGCTGGCATTCTTGTCTCCAGCCTGGAGTATTAGAAAAACACTGCTTTAATCATATTATTTCCCTGTTCAGAAGTCTTTATGCTTCCCACTTGTCCTCTGATAAAAGATAGAAGTTCTGCTTAGCCCTGGGAACAAGCAGTCTCCTGTCTCAGGTCCCACATCACACTCAACCCAGTGTTACCTTCTAAGTATACCTTTGTGTTCAATTACAAAGAGTTCTACTAATAGAGGGGCTAATACAACTCAGTCTTCCATTTCATGTGTATTTTCTTCATAACTGCTCTCATTTCTCGATCTTATACTATAATCCACTGATTCTTCAGGGCCCTGTGTTAGGGCCACCTGAAGAAAGATTACTTCATCTATTGAACCATTCTTTGGTATGTGTACATATGTGTTATACTAGGAAACAGAATCAAAGCCTTTGTATAATAAGTAAGACTCTACTAATGAACTATAATCCAGGTGTATCATAAGTTCTCACTTTATATCCCAGGCTACCAGAAACTCACAGCTATTCTCCTTTAGCTGCCCTAGTAGTTGGGATTACAGATATGTACCACCATATCCAGGCTGAACCATTCTCTTACACTTTATCAACCTATGCTATAGTTTCATGTTATACATTAGTATTTTTTCATATTAAACACATTTCTTTTGAAAGTTAAAGTATGAAGTGGGTTGAAGAGATGGCTCAGTGGATAAAAGTGCTCATTTTGCAAAAATGAGGGCCTGACTCCAGATCCTAGCCCCACATAAAAAGATGAGTGTGGCTGTGCACATACCCATGTCCCAAGCACTGTGGGGGTTGATACAGGATGGCTGGGGCTTGGTGGCCACCAGCCTAGTTTCAGGTTCAGTGAGAGACCTTGTCTCAAAAACAGGAATCAGATGAGAGTGATAAAACAGAGCACCTAATGTCCTGTGCACATTCACATACACACATACTTAAAAACATATAAAGCAGAAATAGATGTTTTCTTAGCTAGAGATAACCAATGTAAACACTTTAGATTTTTGTTTTGTTTTTGAGACAGAGTTTCACTGTGTAACAGCCCTGGCTGTACTGGAACTCACTGTGTATACCAGGCTGGCCTCAAACTCTGCCTCCCAAGTGCTGGTTTAAAGGAAGGTGGCACCACCACCAATTGGCCATTTTAGGATTTATCTTTGTAAACACACACAGACATACACACACTCACACACCCCCCCCCATTTTTTAATATTGTGAGTTTTCCAGTACTTCATTACAATGTCCCTAAACTATGGAATTGCTCTTTAAAATGTTTAGATATTTAAACTACATTCCATAAGACTCTTTCTCCAAAAGACTATTTTTTCTTCTTCTTTTGGACACAGTCCCATTATGTAGCTCTGGCTGACCAAGGACACACTGTGTATACCAGGCTGGCCTCAAATTCAGAGATCCATCCACCTGCCTTTATCTCTTGAATACTGGGATTAAAGGCTTTTGCCCCCAAGCCCACTCTCTCTAGAAGACTTTTATAACCTCAAAAGATTATCTGAGCATACTTAATTTCTAGGTGTGGTCCAGAATGAAACTCAACTGGAAGCTTATAAGAAAAGCAGAAAGCCCACTATACATGAGTTCTATTAACGAACTAATTTTCTACTTATTTTACTAGTTGTTTTTTTTTTTTTTTTTTTTTTTTTTTAAATATTGGGCATTGAATCTAGTAATGGGCTCTACCACTGAGCTATACCCCAACCCTAAAAAGTCCTTTGTCATACAAGACTGAGCCTCTTTCAATAAAAGAAACATATTTCTCACTATGTACCAGACTGGCTTTGAACTTTGCAATTCCCTGGTGAGCCTCCTAAGTGCTATGATTACATACATGAGCTATACCTGACTTCATATATCTGTTTTTGTTATTGTTCTTGCTCTCTCTTTCTCAAAAGAAAAGAGGGGCTGGGAAGATGGGTCAATGGGAGGTAAAGGCTGCCATGCCTGAGCATGCACACACACACACACTGAAAAAAAGAAAAATTCGTTAATTTTAACATGTTTGGTAACTTTAAAATGGCCAAATTAGACTACTCTAATAGTCTGTCATATGAACAAAACAAGCAGTTCATAAAGTTTCAGTGTATCAGTTCCTAGCAGAGTGTTTACAGCTTTCATACCTGTAATAGAATTGACGACAGAACGTAGAATTGTTGGTGGCTTAATCAGTTCTTTCAAAATGTTAGATTCAGTAGCCAGTGGGAATCCGTTGTCTAACATTTCTTCCAAGAGTTCATACACGATGACCACATTATCCTTAATTGCAGCTTCTGAACACTCACCAAAGTAGTCCTAACAAAATATACATAATATTGAACAATAGAAGCATGAAGACTTGCTTTTCTTGTTCTGAAGAATAAATAGTAGCTTAACTCATAGTTTAAGACCTTAGAAACATATAGACATGAAAAATTATCTAAGAAGATCTAATCTACCTTCCCCCTCCCCCACTTTCTCTGTCAAGACAGGGTTTCTCTGTGTAGCTTTGGAGTCTGTCCTGGAACTTGCTAACATTTCTCTACAATATTTTCTAACTATATATTGAATTGACTCCTATTATATATCATGCTAGAAAGTACTAAAATGTTAACTAAACTTTATTAGTCCTGATAAACCCCTCCCAAATGCATAAAGTTTTAAGCTATTTGGTTTATTTACCAAAACAAGAGAAAATAGATAATGTAAATTTAGAAGAGCTTATGATCAATAAATCTTTGTGATGACCCAGAGAATTCTAAGTGGAAGACACTCTCATTTCCTGATGGTATAGTTTGCCACCCATAAAAAATGAACAGAGCAGTAATGCTTGTGACTGCATACTCTAGAAGCATACTCTAGAGGTTATGTTTAGTTATTAAGAAAAGTCACACTGTACACATCATGGTCTCTCCAACTATCCTGAGTGATCTAGTTACAACAGTTTGATGGATACAAACCTGAAAAGTGTCAGCAACTCTATGCAAAAACTCAATTACAAAGAGAGGCGGCACTTCCGTCTGTATGACAGACACGAAGAAGAGCTTATCCCGGTAGATGCTGATGAGGTAGTGGTGAGGTGTTGAAATGACAGGTGGTACATTTTCAACATCAGCAGCTTTCTCCTGCGCTTCAAAGAAATAGTCACAGACAGACTGGCTTACAACGCTCTTCCAGTGTTTTTCTAGAAATATGTCGCCAGAGCAGTTGATGAGAAATAGACTGTGGATCATTTTCTGTGAAGGAAAAAGGGGGCTTATACTTATTGTACACTGAAAATGCACAGTTGTAGTAGATGTAATAAACACAGAGACTCTCAACTGGACAATGTCTACTGAGTGAGATGTCTTTATCACACCCCTTCCTCAAGACTCAGGGAACTATGGAGAGGAGACAGAGAAATTCTAAGAACCAGAAGTGGGCAACTCCAAGGAAACAGCATCTTCTAGACACAAAAGAGTTGATCCACATATGAACTCATGGAGACTGTGACACCACACAAAGACCTTCACAAATTAACACCAAACAAAAAGAAAAGCACAGAGAAAGGGAAGTAGATACCAAGTCCCACCCCTAAGCAAGAAGCTATTTGCAACTAATAACTGCTAGGAGAGGGGAAACTTTTTCTCTAATAGAGTATGGTTTTATCAAGCATGATCTAGGGTAGGTCCCATTAATAGGTGCAGCTGGCTATAGAGAAGAAGGACCGCAATTCGTGTGTATACTTTTCATTTTCATGTTTTCTCCACCCCCCCTTTCTCGGAACATGAAGTTGGGCGGGTAAGAATCGGGGGGGGCTAGGTAAGGGGAAGACAAAGAATATGATCAAAATATATTGCACAAATTAAGTTAACTGAAGATCAGTATCGCCAGACAACAACAATGGAAAAGTCCTTAATTCTAGAAAACTAAATTTAGCAACAAATTTTAAAAAATATTACTTATTCCAAGAATGCAAGTTTGGTTGAACATAGAACAGTTAATCAATGTAATATATAGTAAGTGCTGGTTAGTTCTGCCAACTTGACACAGCCTAGAAAATCTGGAAGAGGAAATCTCAATTGAGGAACCGCTCTATCAGACTGTGCTGTGGGCATATCCCTTGGTCATTTTCTTGACTGATGTAAGAGGACCCAGTCCACTGTGGGTGTTGCTCCCCCTAGGCAGGTGATTCTAGGAGAATAAGAAGCCGAGCAAGCCACTAAACAGTTTTCCTCCATAGTTCTGTGTCGGGGCCCATAAAATGGCTTCACTTTATCTTGGCTTAAAGTCAGAGAGTTCAAAACTATTCTTACTTATCCAAGTTTAAAGTCATAAAGACCTAAAGGTTTAAAGTGTGGCTACTTTAGGATGTTTGGTTTTAGGAATGGTTACTCTTAACCTCAAGACCAGATAATGAGAGATTTATTCTAAGGTGTGGTTACCAAATGTTTGGAGAATTAAGGAAGAAAGTCTGTTTCTTCCTTGTATCTTGATAAAGAAGTCTTTTGCCATTTTCCCCTTTTTGGTTGGAGAATTTAAAAATGTTGAATAACTAAGCGTATTTAGTATTCACTGGAATGTCTGCCTGACTATTCTGTGTCTCCATCTCTTCCTTAGTATCTTTACCTGCCATTTCTCAATTCATACTCCCTCTCTCAGGCAGGAAGACAGGTTAATACAGTTCTGTTCTGACTTCCCTCAGTGAACAACTGTGACCTGGATGTGAAAGACAAATAATCCTTTCTTCCTCAAGTTGTTTTTGGCCATGGTATTTATCATGTGTTACATAGCATGTTTGAGGTTCATATGGGACACATGACACCTTGTCTTAACAAAAGCAACAGAAAATTATTTGTCAACTATGCAATATGAGGACAACTGAAAACTGTTTCATTTTTATATTACGACAAATGTTGCAGAAAAGTTGTCAATCATCTAAGATTGCATAATGTCAGATATAACATCCGAACTTAACATCTAAATTTTAAGCTCTTGCTCTTAACTTGATTCTTATACACTAATTATCAGGCACCTATTTGAACACAGAGCTAATTAGGTTTTCAATAGCTAGGGAAATGTTCTTTATTTGTGCTGTCCAACTTGGTAATCACTGACTATACGTCACTACTGAGTACTAGAAATGCAGCTAATGTGAGCTTGGGGGTAGTGGCATACACCCATAAATACCAACACTTGAGACGTGGAGGAAGGCCATTGTGGACCATGAACACAGCAGATTTAAGTCACTTCATAATATATGAAACCCAGTCTTAAAAAAGAAACAAACAAACAAAAAAATTGTAGTGAAGACAACTAAGGAACTGAAATGTTAACTATTTTTAATACAGTTTCAGTATGTAGTTCAGGCTACCCTGGAAATTGCAAACTTGGAATTTGTAAATTGCAAAAGGTGCCACCTTTAACAGCTAATTTGAATAAATTTAAACACCCACACCTAGCTGTGATACTACTAGACAGTATAGTCAATGTACTTTCTGGCTTGGTTTAAGAGAAGGTTCCACATAGAAACCAAAACATGTTCTAGTTTTTATGCTTAGAGAGTTTAGAGTAGAAATAAAAGAAGTGATATAGGTTATTTTAAACCACTAGCTTTATGGAACACAGTGGTACTCCATTATCACAACACTCTCTAAGAGAGCTGCTTGTTTTTGACTACTTTCTATTTTTGAGCTAGGTTTCCACTCATTCTTAAGCTGGTTAAAAATTCTTTCCAGGAAAGTTTCCACCGAAGTTGTTTTTATTGGCAGCAGTTCAGGTTTCAGAATACAGTGCTGTCAAACCAACCACCGGATTTACTGTTGTTATCCTTTGTGCTGAGATGAAAGCATAACATTTCAGGCACTCAACAACGCTTGACTTCAAAACCCATCTTAACTTTCTATAACAGGAAAAGGGACCTTAGTTTTCTATCCTATCATGACCAATTGCCTAACGCATTTAATGATTAAGCAACACCATGGGAGCAGTAAAAATTAGCTCATTTCTTTACCACTTATGTGTTTAGCAGTTATTTTATTACCTATTTTATTGAATTTTCTTAGAAAACTGCACAGGGACTATCATAACCTGTGTGTGTGTGTGTGTGTGTGTGTGTGTGTGTGTGTGTGTGTGTATATGTGAAACACAAAACACTCCCATCAGAATTTTGATTGTAGCTTAACTGCTTCATGAAATCCTCTTTACTAAATGTGCATTCATCCTGAAGTCTTACAAGCAATACGATTATAAGAGTCAAAATATCTTTGGAAGTGAAGTGTCTAAAACACAAAGTGTGTTCTGTTTTTCCTTTTAGATACGGTCTTATGTTGCTGAATCTGTGGGGTCAAGCAATCCCTTGCCTCAGCCTCTCAAGCAACAGGAGTAAAATTCATTCACCACAACCTCGTGTTCCTTCTGCATAAAGCATAATGGAGACATAGAATGGCTGATATCTAAAGGGAGAGAAGGGGGATGGGAAGATGGCCTGGTCTGTAAAGTGTCTACCATGTAAGTGTGAGAATCTTTGGATCCCCAGCACCCATATAAAAACAGGAGCTGGTGGTTTCTTTTTGTAACTCTAACAGTGGAGTAGGGGTGGGGTGAGGTGGTGGTATTGGAGACAGACAGATTCTTAGAGCTTTCTGACCAGCCATTAGCCAGTCAGTGATCTGCTGGTTTAGGAGATCCTGTCTTAGAAAACAAGGTGAAGAGCCATAAGGAAAAACACTCAAAATCTGGTCCCACACAAACGGGGACCTCTGCAGTTGCATGCACCTGCACAAGCATTTAAACACACACACTCACAAATGAAATAATGATATAACAAAAAAGAATTTAGCTCCTCTAATTCTTAACCAGAATATGACCCCCCCCACTTCAACAAACTTATTTACTAGGCGTTTGGGGATATGAGGATGAACAAAAAAAATTTCTAAACTTACATTATTCAGTTGCAAATATAAATCTAGTTGGGAAAAAATGCTGTAAAAATGAAAGGGGTAATCAACAGGGATCTTCAAGGTTTAGAGGTACAAGAAAACACATGAAACGAATCCAAAACAAATTTTGCAACTCTTAAGGTTGAAGAAGTGCTGAGATGAAGGTTAGAATATGTAAACAGCCGCTAGACATGGGCAAGGCTAGCCTTGGTTGTTGTTCTTAGCATAATGTAAAGTCATTTCTCAATTTTATTTTATTTTTTATTTTGAGGGGAAATATTCAAATCTGATTTACATTTTTGGACATTAAACTAATTACACTATGGAAATTGAATAACAAGGCACTGAATTATGTGACAATAATTAAGATAAGTAATAGTGGGGCTGGATAGCTTGCTAGTTCAGAGCACTGGCTGCCCTTCCAGAGGATCAATGTTTGACTCCTAGCACCCTCACAACCAGTGGTTCTCAAGCCTCCTAATGCTGCTACCTTTAATACACACCCCAATCACAAATTATTTTTGTTGCTACTTCATAACTGTAATTTTGCTACTGTTACGAATCATAATGTGAATATCTGTGTTTTCCAATGGTCTCAGACTAAAGGGGTGGCAACTCACAGGTTGAGAACCACAGCTCACAGCTGTTACTCTATTCCCCAGGGGTCCAATGCCCTCTTCTGGCCTTTTCAGGCATTGCACTCACATGACGTACTATATAAATATATATCATACACATGATACACACACACACACACAGACACACACACTCGAGCGCGTGCGATAGCAACAGTAGGAGCACTCATTAGGTTAACAAAATGTAAAATAAAAAATGAATAGACTTTGAGCAAAAATGTATTTAAGTTTGGCAATATTGTGTAGATATAAGATGAAAGTTGATGTACTAAGCCCTAGCCATATCTAATTTAAACCAATTCGTAATATATTTGATTCAAATAAGTATATTAATCAATCACTGGTATATAGGTCTAGTGCTTCAAAGAGACTGGTATATTGTTAATGTGAATTAAAAATACAAAGAAATATATCCAAATAAATTACATACATAGCAAGAAACATACATGAAAGGAAAAACAGTATTTAAGTGGCATGTGAGTCAAGGAAGTGGAACTGAAAAGAGATTAAGATGCAGTTGAAGGGGTAAGAGTTGTGGGAGACTTTCAGTAACTAACATATGGTAATGCATTTCCAGAAGAAGGGATAAAGAGATGGCTCAGTTGGTTAAGAGCAGGTATAGAAGACTCATTCTGGCTGGTTGTGGTGGCCCAAACCTTTAATCCCAGCACTGAGGAGGCAGAGACCAGCATGGTCTACAAAGTAAGTTCTAGGGTTACACAGAGAAACCACATCTTGAAAAACAAAATAAAAAACAAACAAAAAACAAAACAAACAACTCAGATTCAATCCCTAGCACCACCTATGTTACGCAGGTCCTAACCCCAGCTCCAGCTCCTTGATCTCCATGGACACTGCATTCATGTGCACAGACTCACGTGCAAACGCACACACAACTAAAAGGTTTTATAGTTTTCTTTTCCTTGCCAAGGATATTTTAAAATTCCAATCTCTTACCTCTCAGTCAGTCATATAGCTCCCTACAAATTGAAGATTTTTAAAATTAATTTAAATGTGTATTCAAGCGTGGGTTTGTGCATGTAAAGCATGTAAGTGCAGTGCCCAGGAAGACCAGGAGAGGGCAGTGGATCTCCTGAAGTTGGGGACACAGTGGGGTGGGATTAAAAACATTCACTGCTTTTGCAGAGGACCAGAGTTTGGTTCCTAGCACCCATCCCACACAGCTCACAACCCACTTTTCCTATTTTTAAAAAAAATTGTTTTTATGTGTATGCATTTCTGAGTATATGCCACATGAGTGCAGTTGTCTGCAGAGGTCCTGTTGTTGTGAGTCATTCAATGTGGGTGACGGGAACTGAACTTGGGTTCTCTGCAAATGCTCTCAACTACTGAGCCATCTCTTAAGCATCATACCCAAGGCCCTGTCACACAAATTTAGGAAAAAAAACATTGTAGTCTCAAACGTTTTGGTGCTTCACCAAGTAGGTTTTTTTTTTCCTTTAAGTTTTTATTTTGTATGTATGGGTGTTTTGTCTGCATGTATATCTGTGCACTGTGTATGTGCAGTGCCCAAGAAGACCAGAAGGGTTGAGTCCCCTGGGAATGGAGTTACAGATAACTGCTGGCCACTATGTGAGTGCTGGAAATTGAGCTTAAGTTCTCTGAAAGTTCATCTAATGATCTTAATCGGTGAGCCATCTCTCCTGCTTCAAGAAGTAGTTTTTTTTTTTTTAAATCCACACCAAGAATATATGGTCAAATGGACATCACCGATATTGGTTAAGGTAATTTTAGTGGTAGTTCTGTACAATGTTGGAAAGGAGACATTGCAGTGTGGTGTTGAGATAGAAGTAGCAAACAGGTAAAAACAAAGATAAGGAGACTGAGATAGCTCATCAGGGAAGAGTGTCTGCTGCCAAGTCCAAGGACCTGAGTTTGATTCCCAGGAATCTCATGAAGGAGGGAGTTGTCCTCTGACTTCTACATGTGTATTGTGGCATGCAACACACACACAACAAACAAACATGTAAATAAAAATAATTCTGAACGGACACAGAGAAGCAGCAGATAATAGCACAAGGAAAGTAGGTGAAAGAACTTGTCCTCTCTGAGGAAAAGGGTCATTCCCTTCTTTCAACAGAAAGGAAGGAGATTTGTATATTTGGTTGCAAGAAATTTCCGAGTAAAAATCCCAAATGTCGCAAAACAAAAGAAAAAAAAACCTCATTTCTCTTCCTTTGAGAAGGCTGGATTTTTACAGTGACCAACTTCTCAACCATGAAGTTAAAGCTTCAGGATCAAAGAAATCCACGACTGCCAATCAGCCCACCACTCATTACGTTTCCGTACTTCAGGTCAACTTCTCAGTTTACAGCCCTGTCATCTATCTCGTGAGAAGCTTCTCACCGTTTTCCCGTCCCGGGCTCGCTCACCCAGACGCTACCCTCTAAAGAGGACGTTCTCTTAGATTCAGCAGAAAGCTATGCCCCCCAAGTCCAAACCTGGGGGCTGGTGAATTCAAGTCGTCGGTATTCCACCTCAGTGTAGATGACAATACCTTTTCCCCGCGCCTGGGGGCTGGGGTTCAAGAACCCTGCGTGGCAGGTGCACCACTCCCTTTCGGCCCGGCCCAGCTGGCTAGAAAGCCCGGAAGGCCGGCGTAGGGAGGCCCGGCCCTGGCTCACAGCAGCAGGACCGCCGCTGGAGCCCAAGCTAGTGTCCCGAGCCCGAGCTATGCAGTCTACTCCCCGGTTTTTGAGCGCTCTCCAGCCTGCAGACTACCCACCCTCACACTCACCCCGACACCTGGGCAAGTAAGTGATTCGGTGCCGGGTCCTCTCTGGACCGAAGCTGAAGCAGCAGAGAAAGCCGCGAGGACCCCGCGCTCGGAGTGCCCAACAGATTGCCTGACTAGCAGCCTCAGAGACTCCAAGGAGGTCAGCAGGAGTAGGAAGATAAAATGGGTGGAAAGGCGTTCAGTGAGAGGAACGATGTCTCCAGAGGTTAAGGACCTGAATCTTCTACATTGCTTGGGGTCTGGAAGAACCGGGAGATTGGCACTCTGAGCGCAGGCGCTCACCCGCAGCCTAACTCCATTTGGGGTCCCTTACCGTAGTAATCGAGGCCCTGGAGGGACGGGACATCAGATATTCGCAGAGCCAATGGTTACGGACTAGAGTCACGGATTGGGCGGGGTTGAGAGAGGCGGGGCTTAGGAGAAAGAGGGCGGTATCGAGTAGAGGGGGCGGGCCCACCCCTATACTGAGGGGCGGGACGCGCGGTAGAGCCAAACTAGGGTGAGAAGATGGCAGCTGCTCAGGAGCCAAAGCCCAAAAAGCTGAAGGTGGAAGCGCCACAAGCGCTGAGGTGAGAGTTGCCAGACGTGGGGAGGAGGGAGGCGGCACTTGCGGCGAGCCAAGGCACATGTGGGCTGGCGCTGCTGGATAGTTTTTCCGTTCGTGGGGCCAACATGCAGGACCTGCAGCGCGGGGAGTTGCCCGCGTGGCAGCTCATTGTCCCGTCCCCCCCCCCCCCCCCAGGTTTGGACCTTGCTCAGGTGCATTCCCGGCCTTGGCAGCCATTGACCAATCAGAGTAGTTGGCTCGGGGGCCGAGGCTTTCGCTGGTGCCACGTGCGAGTCCTCGCGTGCTGCGCTAGCGCGACCCCAAAGGACCCGTCTGGAGCTGCATCCTTTCCTGGAGTATAGCGGGAAGGAACCCGGCCTCCTGGACCCTGGTGAAAGAGAAAATTGTTGGGATTTTTCGGAAGGAATTGCAGTAGAGTGTTTTGACCTTTTTTTGGTCACCTCTCTGAAGTCATATTTGGGGACCCCCCCCCCAACCGGGGCCGGAATCTGTCTCAGAGGCTTTGGCTAGGATAGACAGCATTTGGCTAAATGGTTAGGAAAGTTTTTGTTTGTTTTTCTTTTTTTTTTTTTTCCCTTTGCGTATTTGGCAATAGTGGATTGAGCGTTCTCCCAACACCTGAGGCACATTGGTGTCGCAACTTTCACTTACAAAATGCCATTTATTTATTAAAAAGCATTTCTTCCTAATAAGTCTAGCGTGTGCAATCTTTGATGCCTTTGAACTGCTCATTGGAAGGCAGTGATTTTTCTAGCTAAAAGCAGACACATGAAGCTGATTTAAAACTGTGAGGCTATTACTGATTATATGCGACAAATCCCATTTATTCAACATATCTTCTCCATGCTCAAAAGAATAATTTGTTCACAGATGAAAAGGTTAGGTAGGGACCACACACATGTTCATGTTCTTGGTGAAATGGTTTAAAGTATGGTTGCTCTTAAGATTCTTAGAAGGTTATTATGCGTATCTAATACCACCGATGTAAAAAAAAAAAAGCTCTGAGGGTGTTTTATTTTAAATTTTAGATTATCTGTGCCAGTGGGATGGCTCAGCAGATAGAGGCATTGACTGCCAAGTCCGATGACCGGAGTTCAGACTCCAAGACCCACGTGGTGGACTGAGTGGACCTTTTCTTCCTCTGACCTTCACTGTGTGGTCCCGCTCCCACTAAGTAAATAGTGACTGTCTCCTTAGGTTTTCTTTTAACAAAGGCAATACTTTCTAGATAATAATGATCCATTTTAACAGTGCTTATCATCTGTAGTAATGATATAAAGAAGGTTCTATGAAAGAAAGGCATGGATTATTCATATTTTACAGGTGAGAATATTGAAGTTTAACATTTAAAGAAGGGAAATATGAAGCCAGGGTATCAGGATGCAAGTTTATTATTTGATTGTAGTGTGCTTATACAACATCTGAGACATACCTCTGTTTGCTTATGTATCTTTAAAAATGTTCCATGGTAATGTTTAACACTCAGATATATATATATATATATATATATATATATATATATATATATATATATATATATATTCCAGTCTCTGTTTCTGCATTCTACATATTTTAACTCAATAGCATAACAACCCGATATTATCTCAATTTAACCAAAAATGAAACAGGCACATATCTGTTGTTTAAAACTTAAATCTAGATGAATACAATTCACTTTACTTAATGCTAACTCAGTGCCATCTGCAGAGGTGAAATTAAAAGATTAGGCATTTTTGACTATGGGGGCAAATCTTGACTTTTATGCAAAGACCTCTGCAATTGACTTACTACTTTTATTGTACTGTATTAGTTTACCTTTCAAGATTGCTATATAATAATGCATTTAGAGTGAATTACTCCATGATTTATCTGGCAGTTAAGAGGTTTCAATCAATTTTGCTTAACTTTTAAGGAAAATGGCTTATAAATCATTAGCACAATTTAATGTGTAGAATCAGTCAATAGGGAGCAAGTAAATTAATGAAATGTGTTTATAGGGAAAGAATCTGTGAGAAGTTCAGTTATCATTGGGGAAATAATTCTTATTTTTAATGTGTATGTGTTTGTGTGAATGTGTGTCATTTGTGTGCTAGAAGAGGGCTTCGGATGCCCTGGAGCTGGAGGTAAAGATGGTTGTGAGCCACCTAACGTGAGTTCTGGGAACCAAGTTTGGCTCCTCTGGAAGAGCATATGCTCTCGTTCTTTTTTTTTTTAAATTTTTTATTTCATGTGCGTTGGTGTTTTTGCCTGCAAGACTGTGTGAGGGTATCAGAGCCTCTGGAACGGGAGTTACAGACAGTTGTGAGCTGCCATGTGGGTGCTGGGAATTGAACCTGGGTCCTCTGGAAGGGCAGTCGGTGACCTTAACTGCTGAGCCATTTCTCCAGCCCCAAGCATATGCTCTTAACCACTGAGCCATCCTGTCAGCCTAGGAAGTGGTTTTTAACTAGGGGGAGTTTTATCTTAGAAGAAACACATGGCAAAACCTGGTGGTAGTTTTGGTGGAGTGGGGGAGGGGAGTAAAAGTTTAAAGATGCTGCTAGACAGAGCTGGTGAGTTGGCTCAGAGGGTAAAAGTGTTTGCTGCCAAGCCTAATGACCCATGTTAATCCAGATCCAGGACCCATGTGGTATGCACTCATGCATGTGTACACACAATAAACAAATATAGTTTAAAAACAAGCAAAAAGCTAGCATGGTGTCCCATGCTTTTAATCCCAGCAGTCTGGAGGCAGTAGCAGGTAGATCTCTGTAGGTCTCAGGTTAACCAGGGCTGTGTAGTGAGACCCTTTGTAAACAACAACATATGAAACCTATAGCAGAGATTTCCTTGCTTTGTCCCCCATCATGATGATCCTCTAGGCATCTTAACAGTACAGAAGTCATACCCCTATGTTAGAGATCGTTAGGCCAAAATTGCCAGTATTGTTGAGAGTGAGAGACTGTGTTAGGGAGATCACCTGAAAAGAGTATGTTATATTATTCTTTATTGTTTTTTAGGCTGATTGCTTTTTGGAATGTGACAGTTACTAAGATTTCAAAGAAAGAATCAGACTGTAACATGTTTTTCAGTAGAAACAGTAATTGAGTAGCAGACATTTATATAAGGACTACTTAATTTTCTTTTCTCTCCTTTGGAAATGTTATCCAACTTTATTGCTTCAGCAGTCACCTCTAAAGACACAACACCTTCCAAGTTGTGTTGAACACATGCCAAGTCTGTTCTTTCGGGCTGTCTTTCAAGTACAGGCTATTTTTAGGCATGGTGCTAAAAACTGTATTGAGAGAAAGAAGAAGGTAAGATCCAGGTGCCATTTTCCTCCTGGAAAATAAGTAGAATTTGGGAAAGTGAAACCTGAGCATTAGTAAAATGATGAGAAGTTAACCAGGTGTGAAATAAGGTATCTTTCTTTATGGGCAAATTATTTTGGAGGCAGGTCCGCTGTTGAGAATTGAAGATGAGATGATTTGACCTGACCTGTAGATAATAATACATGTCTAGACTTCATATTTGGTGTCTTCATATGGGATATTTCTGTCTGTGTATTCTCAAGTCTCACAATATCATGTAGCCCAGGCTGGCCTTGAATGTGATTTGGAACCAAGGATGACCTTGAACTTATGTCTTCCTGGCTCCACCTCAGCAGTGCTGTGATTTACAGGCTGCCACCACACCCAGTTTTCAGAAGCTAGTTTTAACTATTGGATATTCCTAGGTGGTTTGCTTATCTTTAAAGTCACATATATGCAAGCAAATCCATCTCTTGTCCTAAATCTGGACTTTCTCCCATTGGTTCCTGCATCAGCAGTGTGAACCTCCCTTTTTCTGAAGTTTAAACTTTATCTTGGTTTAGTTTCTTTTTTCCTTTCTTAGTTTTCTATGCCTCCAGTTTCAAGTTCTGCCTTATCTACTTTAGATACAGCTCTATTTAATTAGCAGAGCAAATATTTGTAATTATGAACTTGATATTAGGAAAGACTGAATCCCAAGAGCCAATTATCATGATTCCTTCTGACACTGATAATTAACCCACAGAGACAGCTGACCTGAACAAGGAGGAGCTAATGGGCCCCTGGACTCATAGCTGGGAATCCAGCATTGGACCGACTCAGACCCCCTGAACATGGGTCTCAGTTAGAAGGCCTGGGCAGTCTAAGGGACTCCCAGCACTGGGACTGCGAAGACACAGAATCCTTAGGCTGATTGGCAAGCTCTAGGCAAATGAGAGACCTTGTATCAAAGGAGGTGGACTCAATTCTCAAGGATGATAGGGAAGATTGTTTTATGGCTTCCACAAATGTGTAAACATATGTACCAGCACACTCGAACACACATGAACACTTGAAAAAAGATTGTTTAAGGGTGTTAACTGTTAGTATTACTTAGAGGACATAGACAATTTTCTCACCAGCAAACACTGAGCTTTTTCCAAATATTGCTTCCTAAGTATTTCACTCATAGACCCTTATCTTCTTCTCCTTAGTCCCCTACATCCTGCATTTTGAAATTGCATTATAAACCTAAAAACAAGTTCATAAGTATCATGGGTGATCAGAAAAGAGTTTTAGTGATATCTTTATAAAACATGTCTCCCTTTCAGAAAGTTTTCTGGAAGATTAAATCAATGAGCATATGCTTCCCAATAGTGGTCCACTAAGAAGATTAAATGAGGAAAATATATTCAGACCAAAGAAGTCTCTGTATGATGTCTGGTCATAATAACTATTCAGCTAAAGTCTGTTGAGTAGGACTGATAAGTACCCT